ATAAAAGTTGACAAAATATATATATAGTATATATATATACTGTCCGAGTTGCTGATCGATGGACCTGCAGTGGGAGCTGCAGTTGCAAAGTAAAAACAACCGATCGATCGGGAATCCCCGACCATCATGCAACACGTGATCGACTGACCAGCATTTATAATGTTCTCAGAGTGGCGATTCGTGTGCCATGTTTTGATATAAGAAACCTTGAAATGTCATAAGAAACATCGCACGCTCCCCGTTCGCGTTCGTACTCGCGATGCAATCGGTCTAATTTTCCGGAAGGGAGAGAAAGGCACATATACGAGATGACAAACATTTTTCTCATTTTCGTAATAATTCATGCCGCGTATCAATGATACGAAGTCTATTCACGTTTCATTTCGTCATCTTATATATTATGTATATATCCTGTTGCCAATTTAAAATCAATTTAAAATCAATTCTTAAGTTTTTCTTGCAGATGCAATTGGAGTATTAGAAACTTGATGATGCAAATTCACTGATCGTACAGTTAATTTGTGGTTGCAAACAAAATTTTTTAATTAATATACTTTGTGAAATATTATCTTTTGTTTTATTTTAATTATCCAAAAAGTTTGCTCTATTAAATCTTATATTTTGTCATTATTTAATTAATTCACTATCCCTGTAAACTTACAATTCTTCATAATTGATCGTAATACTTTTATTTCCTTCTAGCTTTTAATTTTTAGTCTTGTAACTAAACTAGTTCTAATTCATATTTAATTTAAATGCAACAGATTTCGACTGCGCATTTCATTAAATCGATAAGCAAACTCTTCTTTGTCCGTCGAGAATTTGGATCTTGTTCGGCTGTCGCAAGAGCGCAGGCTAATTAAGGAACGCAGGAAAGTGGCGGCGTTGTCGCCTCGCGGATGATCGAAACTGAGAATCAGTCGGATTCGCGTGCCAGTAGACTGGATCAGCGAAACGAGGATCTCCTCGTGGCTGGCAGTAACGGTGGCGATCACGAAGTTAGTGACCAAACGGCTGCTGCAACCACCGACGCTACGCCGACATTGGAGGACGTAGGTGAGAGAGAGAGAGAGAGAGAGAGAGAGAGAGAGAGAGAGAGAAG